AAGGGGGAAATAAGCTGAAAGATAAAAAAAAATGTTAACGAAAAATGATATGTATCATAACACCGATCAATTTCTCAATGAGACAAACACAATGGCTTAGAATTCATTAATCTGCTCGCTGAAGTATAGCACGGGCAGCAATTCCTTTTTCCTTTAATTTTCCCTCCCGGCGAACATTTCGCGCGCCTTTCCTTCTGACTATCTGAGAGCCTGGAACAGCTCAGTTTAACCAATGTAAAGAGGTAGGAATGGTCACGGATGCAAAAAAGACTTAGTGCCGCGTATCAGCGACAGAACTGATGTAATTGCAGGTGTTCAATCGAGGACGCTAACATGCGTGGGAACCAGGCTGCTCAGAAGACGCGTCATCTGTGGAACGGACCAACTGACGTCGCGCTTGTAAGCCACAAAAGGTGGTTGCATGAGGAAGGACACATTGAGCTTGCTCATCTGTTGATCAGAATAGAGTGCGAAAGTTCTGCAGTAGAAATCGTTTGACCTTGATGTTTAACCGGCGGTATATGAATGAGATCAAGGCGTACTCTATCAAAGTTACCTCACACTTTTAGGACGGGAGCAGCGCGTCATGACGGCTAATAGTTGCATTGATATGAGTTACGTGGGTGGGTTTTCAGGTCATTCTTAAGACAAAATGCCACAACATTCTCGAGAGACAAGAATTGTGGTAAAGAAATACTGAAGGTTGTGGCAATTAAAAGCAGTCAAAGACTGACGAAAGAAACACGTACGCCTGGTCTTCTTGTTTAAGGAAGAACGTTTGTTTATATAACCTTCTATTTTAAGTTCGATCGAGAAGTGAATAAAAACTGCATATTTTATGCACACGTGATAACATGCATTTATAGTTTTGCCTCAAATTCCTGTTTAGCCTGGGCTTTTATGGCTTAAAGTCAGCTACACCCTCAGGGCTTCCTGTATTTAACTATCAAATAGTGTAGTTGATGATCGAATATGCGTATTTTCAAATTGGCACATCAACTAACAACACTTGCATTTGTTAATGGAAAGAATAATGACTTTACAATAATTGACAAGAAAAACACATTTTAGTATATTTAATCTATTTTGTTTAGTTTTTGCCCGGGGGAAAATTTTGTCGGCGGCGCCTTTGAAGATTGTCCCGTTTCAGGCAAAATTTAAAAAATGCGGGACAAACCATCCGCATCATTTATTAGACGTTGATGATGACAGGATATTCCGCTATTCATAAGCTCTCTTTACATTTTCGCCGAGAGCATATTAGTTTTGAAAAGAAGGTTGTTACATAAATGACAATAAACTCAGTCCTTTTTCTTTTAAATGACTCCCGTCATTAAGCGCCCCTCTTGGAACCCTAAAAGTAGTAATCGCTACTATATATAAATGAAGTGTCACAACGTCATCGAAGAAAAGGAGCTGTAGCCAACAAGTACTGAATTTTGTAACAACTAAAACTGAGCAGTCAAAAGAGTATGAGCAAGCCCTTGTCAGAAGAACCTGCTACTTTCTCTTTGCCGACAGCAGACTTTTGGTTTTCCCATTTTTAGCTCGATCGAGAAGTAAAACTTATAAAAACTTCCTGTTTTATGCACACGTGATAATAGGCATTAATTCTTTCCTCATATTCACCTGTTGAACCTGGGCTTAATGGCCTGAAGGAAGCTTCGCGTCTGCTTTCTGTGGTTAACTGTCAAACTTGTGTAGTTGATGATGGTACTACCAAAGATATCATTTTTTAATGTGTTAAAACATACTTGTTTAATCATCTTCTCAATCGATTTCTTAATACAACCCACTGACCTAAATGAAGTGTTCTGTTTGGTTTATGACATACTAATACCCCACTGTTTCTGTCAAAAGGTCAGTTGGCCGATAATGCCGTAACATTACAATACAAAGTCACTTTTTGAAGGCCTCAGAGGACAGCTGTGCTGTGGCTTCGCAGAGGGCTTACAATTGTCAATAAAAGTTTTGGCTCGAGCAGTATAGGCAATATACAGAGTACCAGTTCAAAGTTACTTGACTGCACTCTGTAGATACGTCGCTAAATTCCACTGCGTGGAAAATCGGAGGAACCGTTACCTACTGTCTGTTTATTATCGTTTCACTCGCCGCAAATTCTCTCATTGTTACGATCGTTTATAAAACGCCGAACTTAAGAAAACCGATAAATTATTTCATCGCAAACATGGCCTCATCTGATCTGCTGTATCTAATATTCTTTATACCTTGGAACCTGTCCCACTTGAACACCAACTCGTTTCTTATCGGTGGTCAGCTTGGTCAGGCCTTTTTAAGCTTGTCCCCTTCTTTGCAGACGTTTCCATTGCCGTTTCGATTCAGAATCTGATTCTTATAGCAGTGGATCGATTTGGAGCCGTGATATTTCCACTTCGTTCCCCACTCATCAGATCAAAGCTGTGTCCCTTCTTCATTCTTTCCACATGGATAGTTGCCGTAGCTTTCAATTCGCCAGACTTGTTCACTTACGAGCTCGTTGAATACCCAGAGGGAACCTGGTGTGTTCGGGAATGGAAGAAAGCATTCGGAGAGCCCTCATCCTTTGCCACTTTTGTACTAGCTTACCAGATTCTGTTTACATACATACCTGTGCTGTTGCTAGTCATTCTTTACTCCATCATTGTTATCAAGCTCAAGACACAGGCACACCCAGGTAAACAGTCCGCCAACAGTCAGCAACAGCGGACAGAAGAAACCAAAACGTGCTTCAAATGTCCATTGCTATCGTAACAGTGTATATTTTTTGCTGGTTTCCTTACTCTTTAATCTTTTTAATCTTACAGCCTCAGGACACTTTCACGCATTTCTCGTGTAGTTTCTGGATATAGTATGAAGTCGCCATTTATATGACTGACGCGTACTGTGCTATCAACCCAGTTATCTGTTTCATGTTTAGCAGTAATTACCGAAAAGCTCTTAAAAGACTCAAAAAATGTTCTTTTGTACGGGCGTAGGTCGCAAAAATGTGGTTTTAGTTGAAGAGTTAAGCCTGCGAGGTTCGTGGAACACTCGCGAATAAATTAATGTATCATGACTATCAATGTATTTTTAGTAGTAATTATCGAAAAGGTCTTAGAAGACTCATGAAATGTTCTCTTGTACAGGCGTAAGTCGCAAAAATGTGCTTTTGACTGAATATGTTAAGATTTAGAGGTACGTGGAACACTCGTGAATAAAAAATCACCACGACTGCCGTTGGCGTACTTAACTGAATGAGGATTAAGTCTGACATGACTGCGAAATATGACAGCATAGGCCACGTATTATTAAAGGTTGGGCGGTAAATAAAACTCAGGGACGGATATTGGGGCCGTTTTGACAGGTGAAGTACAACTGTACAACTAACAACTCTTAACTACTGCAGAACCGCTAAGTTATAGAAGAGGTTCTGCCGAAAAAAAGGAAGGAATAAAACCGACAATTATAAAGATCTGTTGAAATTTTAGCGCCACCCCAAGGTTTGAACCAAAAAGTTAAATAGGAAGTTTAAGCCAAAGAGGAAGTTGTATGGCTTAAAAGCCATACAGGAAGTTTAAGTCATGTCTGTCTTAATAATAGTTATTGTGCTAAGGCCTCGCAAGGGGACAAAAATTAAAGTTTAAAACGTTTGAAACTTAACTGATGGCCGCGATGCATATACTGCGTTGTATGCGTTGTACAGAAGGCGACATACAATGGCGGCCCGGGGGGGGGGGGGNCCCCGTCAGGCTAGAAATGGGCTAATTTTTTATACTCCGTTCTAGAAAGTTTGTAAATTGAAATAGTCCTGTTTTTTAAAAAAGATATTTCTTTATTTGTTCGACTTATACATCAAATAAATGCTTCTTCATAATCATCCGGAGTACGTTTTTTGTGCATCTGGATGCAATGCGGTTAATTATGACGCAAAATCTCACACCACGCAAAGAACCACGCACGTAAGCTAACGATTTTCCTTCTCCTCCCCCGTCCCTTTCTTTTGAACCCGTCTCCACCTCCCTCGGGTACATTATGGACTCGTTCCAGACTTCCGCGCGCCTATTTATCCAAGATGGCGGAGTCAGTGCTCGCGGCTCGCGCCAAAATACGCCCGCCCTGCACGCTAAAACACAGGGTGCAACAAGAGTACAACAGTTTGCTTGTTAACGCATTGAACCGTATTTTTAATAGCAATCTGTCCTTGAATAATTTCAAATGGCTGGTTACAAAACTGGAGCTTTCGTGCGTTCGTAATATTATACCTCGTTCTAGAAAACGCCTATGAAATAGATACCCCGTTCTATATCAGGAGCTTCAAAATCACAACCCCGTTGGGTGGCACATACCTGTATAGGTAGTGTATGGGATTACCCAGCCCCTTTAGGAATGGCGGGCAATCCAGTCTTGGAACTGTTTCAAACGATTTACCAAGAAGAGACCAAACTACAATAGTGATAAAATGTTATCGTTCGTAGATGAGAAAATTTCCTGCGCTCTCGACCACAACACTCCCTGATGACTCTTTTACACTTCCACGTTGGGCTAAGAGCCACATTAAAAATGTTCTTGGCCTGGCGTTGTATTTTTGCTATCTGTTTGACGCAAATTCAACATACGTTTTCAAATAAGCGTTTTGAGCACATTAGAATAAACTAACAGCTCTAAACTAGTGAAGAATTTCATAATAATAATAATAAGAAGAAGAAGAAGAAGAGAAGAAGAAGAAGAAGAAGAAGAACTTCATAAAAAATACAATCCTGGTATTTACATAAACAGTATGTGGTCCTTGGTCCGCGCAAGTCCCCGATGCCCTTGGTCCGCGTCTTTTCCGAAAATGATAAAATATTTCGTCAAGAAAAAAATACGTTGAATAATGAAAGATGTCGTGATTTACTGATTAGCATTCTTTCATTTGACGAAGTTTCAGCCTTCTTGCTGCGGGTAAAGACGCGAAATTAAAGTTTGTTGACAGGTAGGTTAATTTGTCTTTCATTGTCTTGAAGTTGGGATTTTTGCGGCACCATAAATTACGTGGTCATGTTTACTTAGCCTGCGAATAACTAAAACGCAACGGGAAGACTTGCCTTTTTGCAGAACAGGTTTTCAGATCAACTTATTTCTGCTGTTGGGAGCATATTGCTGTAGACTCGGAATTTTTTGTTTTAGCGACTCTTGAAAAATATCACCAAATTTCGCTTAGCGGTCCTTGGTCCGCGTCCTATGACCTTGGTTGAATAAAACTTCCTAAAGTAAAAAGCGGCGGCCTTTGTTTTCGAAGAATGCTTTGAAAGTCGTCCCTATACATGTCTACAAGTTCCCTTTTTTAATACCTCGAGTACATACAGAGTTTTGGTAATTATTTTCGACCGCGCTAAAAACCGCTCGTTGACGCTCGTGTGGGAGACTCGAGGAGACTGTTGTCTGAAGTCTTTGAAAGAAAAGCAGATTATTTTATGCTCACAACATCTTCCGAAAAAAACTTAAGCTTAATTGCATCAAGAAAAGAAAAAATACAAGAAATACTGTGAAAATCACGTTTTCGTGTGGAACTATAACATTTTTACGTTTTTATCGTGCTGCTTACATGAGACGCGGACCAAGGACTATCGAAAACGGTCGCCTTTTTGCGAATTCCAAGCAAAATATTTATGTCTGGAACTTGAAACTTCAGGATTATTGACAGGAACATAAAAGCTATCTTCAGGGAGTATTTCAGCTCGTTACATGAAGATTCGGGTAAGATATTCAAGTTAATGACCTTTACACGCGGACCAAGGACCACATACTGTACTGTTTAGCGATGAAAATGCAAGCAACAGAGGTTAATAGACTTCCAAAAAAATCCTTCGTCCGATTTCATTTGCGCGGACCGATACAGAAGGGGATGCTCTTCAGTGTTTACTATATGATATTGTTTAAATTTTGTTTAGAAACCAATTCTTTGTTCTCTCTCTTTACTTTCCTGGGTTTTATATTGACTGGACAACCCAAGCTTAAAAGTGAAATTTAAGACAGAAAATCGATTTGACAAAGTAAATAGCTCGAAGGTTCAATGTTAATGAGTTTCTCCTAGCCTATTACAAGACTTACTCAGGCATTGATATGAGTTTTAAAGCGTTTGAGTCACTCTGGTCATTATAAAAATGATTGCCACAGCGTTATCGAGCGATAAAATTCTGACCAACTATTTGTAACACTTAAAAGCAGTCAAACTGGAAGGAACAAGCCTCGTCTATTTGTTGAGTAAGAACCTGCTAGTTTCTTTTTGCCGACAGCAGACTCCAACTTTTAGAATTTCCCGTTTTTATTTCGATCGAGAAGTAAAGTATATAAAAACTGGCTGCTTCATGTACACACGATAGCAGGCATTTATTTTTGCCTCATATTTTCCTGTTAAGCCAGTTAATTGCTTAACGGAAGCAGGCAGCTTCGCCTACGCTGCTTCCTGTGTTTACCTGCGAAATTGTGTACTTTATGATCGTATTGCTAACGATAACATTTAACACACGATAACACACCTGTTTAAAAATGGTGTTGAGCACGTATTTTCGATTATCTTTTTCGAGAAAAGTTTTCTCACTGCGTAGCTACATGACAGGTCTATGCATTTCTCGTGCAGTTTTTGGCTATATACTTTGATGTCACCATGTGTATGTCTAACGCGTACTGTGCTATCAACCTGGTTTTCTTTTTCATTTTTAGCAGTAATTGATTACCAAAAGGCTCTTAAAAGACTCATAAAATGTTCTTTTGCACGGGCGTGGGTCGCAAAAAAGTGCTCAGTTTGGCTCGCAAATATATCATATATCATGACTATCAGTGTGCTCCAGCACTCTGAGAAGGTTTTAATGAGTGCGACAAATGACAGCATAGGCGACGTATTGTAAGAGTTTGGGATAAAACTCGGCCGCGGACCGATAGAAACGTTATAGTGGGCAGGAGAAGTACAAAAGTATTCGTTCATACAAGGGAAAATTTATTAACTGAAAATTTAAGGGAAACGATGACGATAAAAATTCAAATAATGATAATGGTATGAAATATCTCCTAGTAACTCTTAACTGTCTGTCTATTGTTGTAACTTCTGCTGTTCAGCACGTATTGCATTTTTAATTTGTAATCACACATTCATAAATAATTTATTGCAAAGTTTAGCCAATAAAAAAAGCTCAACACCTCGGTTCGGTAGATCGACTAATTGATCTGACATGATTTTCAAACTGTTATTTTAGTACCTTCCTCGCTCTCATTGTTTAAATTCTGTTTAGAAGCCAATACTTTGTTCTCTCTCTTTGCTCTCCTTATTTTATACTGACTGGACAACTCAACTTTAACCCCCTTTAAGGTGATATTTAAAACAGGAAATCGTTGTCACCAAGTAAATGATTCGAAGGTTCTATATATAATGCTAATAAGCCTCTCCTATAGCCAATCACAAAGACTTCTTAGGCATTGATATGAGTTAAGCGGGGGAGTGGGGTTTCTTGTAAAGTGCCACATATAATTGTAGTACCGGCAGAAGGTTCGCAAACATCAAAGGGAGTAAAAGAAGTAACAAGCCTTGTATTTTTGTTGAAGAAGAACCTATTAATTCTTAGTTAGACTGGAAAACCCAAACTTAACTCCCTTTAAGGTAATATTTAAAATAGGAAATCGTTTTCACCAAGTAAATTATTGGAAGGTTCCACATATGCTAATAAGCCGCTCCTATAGCCAATCACAAAGACTTCTCAGGCATTGATATGAGTTTAGCGGGAGAGTGGGGTTTCTTGTGAAGTGCCACAACGTTATAAAGCGATAGAATCGTAACCAACAAGTACAGAAGTTCGTGAAAATCAAAGGAGGTAAAAGAAGTAACAAGCCTTGTGTTTTTGTTGAAGAAGAACCCATTCGTTTAGTCTAGACTCTTGGTTTCATAATGTCCCATTTTTTTTCGATCGAAAATCAAATGTTATAAAAACTGCATGTTTTATTCATGTCTTGATGGAGACGGTATGCACTTCTTTTTACCTCATATTTACCTGCTAAGCCTGAGCTTAATTGCTTGAAGGCAGCTGCCAAATTGTGCACTTTATGATCGTATTGCAAAAGAAAACATTTCACACACCTGCTAAGTAAAATTGGCATTAAGCACCTATTTTCAACTATATTTTCAATAGTCTTAGAGCTGCTTCAAACATTTTACAGAGAAAAGACAGAACTGCAGCTCTGGATCGCAAGAGCGTGATCACTGTTCCTCGGCAGCAGAAAAATTTCCCCGTGCCCGGGGCTAAAAATGCTAAGAGCCACGTTGGTTACTCTATTCCTTTACGTTGTATCTTTACCATTTATTTTACACAAATTCCCTGAACATACGTTTTGAAATGGGAGTTTTGAACACATTAAAATACAGTAACAGCCCTATACCAGTAAAGAATTAATAACAATAATAATAATAACTTATTAATGATAAAAACGAACAATCCTGATATGTACCGTTAAGCAATGAAAATGCAAGCGGCAGAAGTTTTAGACTTGATTTCCCTTAGCCTTATTCGGTTCTCCTTTATGTTTAAAATTTGGCTGATGCTCCTCTAACTCATCGAACACAGGGGTTCAAGCCTCGCCCTTCGCGTTGTTTCCTAAGACAAGGAGCTTCACTGTCCACTTTTTCTCTGTTCATCCAGGTGTATAAATGGGTACCGGCGACATACAGCTGGGGGGTAACCCTGAGATGGACTAGCATCCTGTCCAGAGGGGAGAAGCAATACTTCTAAACATGCTTCATGCTGAGGAAACCGGGATAAGCTCCAGCCGTTTGGCTGACCTTTGGCTCGTGCCTGCCTTAACCTTACGTTACCTTTAGTGGTCGCTACATGATAAATTAACTCAGGGATATTTTATCAGGATTCAATGTTAGATATCACAAAGATACATTTATTAATTGTTTAAATTTACACTGCATTTTCAACGTCTAAAATAGTGATCAAAGGAAACCTTCTCCTTTCATGAATTCGTTGTAATGAGAAACTCACAAAAGACCGATAAATTGTGTATTTCTTCTGTGAATTCTTTAAGCTTCTTCGGGAATCGATCTAAAAATACTTTCGTCGTGATCTGAATTTTGAGGAAATTACTTATCCATCCTCCTTATTTATGGCGTTTTTAGCTAGTGTGTCAGTTTTTCCTCGTTGTCGATCGAATTTAAGCAGTTGATAGTTTTTAAATAAACAAAGATAAAAAATAATAATGATGGTATGGAACATACCCTAGTTATTTTTAAGTGTATACCGTTAAGAGTGACATCTACTGTTGTAACCTGTGTTGTCTGGCACGTATTTCCTTCTGTGGAAAGATCTATCCTTCCTGAATTTGCCGCTTAACCAAATAATCACTTAATTAAAATGTGGAAGCTTATAGGGTTCAGGAGTAAATAGTCTGCACCGTTCCACATGGGACGAAATTGACCCGATCTGTCCGTATTTAATTTATGCAAAAGTCTAGCCAATTATTTTAGATTGACACCTTCTGTAGATCGACTAACTGACATGATTTTGAAACTGTACTTTTGATAATAACTTTCCTCCTGTTATTGTTCAAATTTTGTTCAGGATCCAGTACTTTGTTTCTCTCGTTGCCCTCTCGCCCGTGTTATTTCGACTGGCAGCCAAAGCTTTTAAAGGGCTTAAAAGAGAATTTAAGAAAGAATTTCTTTCAGACAAAGTAAATAACTCGAAGGTTCAATGCTAATGAGTCTCTCCTAGCAAATTACAAAAGGCTTACTCAGGCATTGACGAGTTACCATAAATGATCTAATGACTTAAACTGACACCCCCTTTCAAATAAACGCCTCTTGGCTCATTTAATAAGCGCCGCTCAATGATATTATGTTTGCATTAGACGCCCTCGCTAATAAACATCCTTTGTCTAGTAGACGCCCCCATGAAAATTATTAGAAATTAGCAAAAAAGAGCCAAATCATTCAAATTATTCAGTTGCCTGCTTGATTAACAAGACTTTGAGCATTGCATCTTGTTCAGTGTTTTAAAGTTCCATTTAAAAGTTCGAATTGATAAGAGATGACATTACATTGGCCGTGAACTAGAATTCTGATATATATGGAAGTTGAAATTTGAACCAGCGCGGATAAGGATCTCTCGACGGCCTATCCAGGCGGTAGCAATTGATAGACTGGATATTCCGCTATTCATAAGCTCTCTTGACATTTTCGCCGAAAGCATATTACTTTTGAAAATTAGGCTGGTACATAAATGACAGTGACTGCCATCTTTTCTAAAATTATTAAACATCCTGGGCATCTATGAGATCATTTACGGTATTTAAGAGGGTGGGTTTTCTGGTCATTATATAAAAAAGGAAGTGCGACAACATTATCGAAAAAGACAACTGTAGCCAACAAGTACTGAAGTAGGTAACAATGAAAACTGAGCAGTCAAAAGAGTCTGAAAAAGCCCTTGTCAGAAGAATCTGCTAATTTCTCTTTGCCGACAGCAGACTTTTGGTTTTCCCATTTTTAGGATGATCGAGAAGTTAATGTTTAAAAAACTTTATGTTTTATGCACACGTAATAATATGCACTTATTTTTTCCTCGTATTTACCTGTCAAGCCTGAGCTTGATGGCTTGAAGGCAGCTTCACCTCTGCTTCCTGTGTTAAACTGTCAAATTGCAATTGTGTAGTTGATGATGGTATTACCAAAGATATCATTTTTTTAGTTTGTTAAAACACACTTGTTTAATCATCTTCTCAATAGATTTCTTAATACAACCACCTGACCTAAATGAAGTGTTCTGGTTGGTTTATGACATACTAATACCCCACTGTTTCTGTCAAAAGGTCAGTTGGCGGATAATGCCGGAACACTACAACACAAACTCACCTTTTAAAGGCCTCAGAGGACATCTGTGCTGAGGCTTCGCAGGGGGCTTACAGTTGTCAGTAAAAGTTCTGACCCAAGCAACATACGCCATATACAGAGTAGCAGTTCAAAGTTACTTGACTGCATGTGTACGACTCTGTAGATACGTCGCTAAGCTAATGGTTGCATTGATATGAGTTACGCGGGTGGGTTTTCAGGTCGTTCTTAAGATAAAATGCAACAACGTTATCGAGAGACAAGAATTGTAGTAAAGAAATACTGAAGGTTGTAGCAATTAAAAGCAGTCAAAGACACGTACGCCTTGTCTTTTTGTTTAAAGGAGAACGTTAATTGTTTTATAACCTATTTTAAGTTCGATCGAGAAGTGAATGCATAAAAACTGCATGTTTTATGCACACGTGATAACATGTATTTGTAGTTTTGCCTCAAATTCCTGTTTAGCCTGGGCTTTTATGGCTTAAAGTCAGCTACACCCCTCAGTGCTTCCTACATTTAACTATCAAATAGTGTAGTTCATGACTAACAACGGCTTGCATTTGTTAATGGTAAGTATAATGGCTTTACAATAATTGACAAGAAAACCACATTTTAGTATTTTTAATCGATTTGTCTAGTTTTTGCCAGGGGGAAAATTTTGTCGGCGGCGCCTTTGAAGTTTGTCCCGTCTCAGGCAACATTTAAAAAATGCGCGACAAACCATCCGCATCACTTATTAGGCATTGATGATGACAGGATATTCCGCTATTCATAAGCTCTCTTTACATTTTCGCCGAAAGCATATTAGTCTTGAAAAGTAGGTTGTTACATAAATGACAATAAACTCAATTCGGTGAGCGGTCAGCGATGATGATAGCCGCGTCTTTTGAAGCTGGATAGTTTTGTGTTATTTGTTTCCTTTTTTGTGTTTAAATAAGTTACTGTGCGTGTGTGTGTGCGTGCGTGCGTGTTTGTGTTTAAATGAATAACAAAGCTATATTAGAATAAGTCAACCCTGTTAAAGGCCCATAATTAGTTTTCTATAATGTGCCCTACTCCATTCTAACTTTCTTTTTTTATTATTATGTACAACGTAGTTTAATTAACCTTGTACTAATTGATATTGTACAACTAGTGTATTATCTATAGGATGGAGTAAAAATAAAATACAAATATAAATACTCAATTCTTTTCTCTTTTAAATGACTCCCGTCATTAAACGCCCCTCTAGGAACCCTAAAAGTAGTAATCGCTATTCTATATAAATGAAGTGTCACAACGTTATCGCAAAAAAAAGACCTGTAGCCAACAAGTGCTGAATTTTGTAACAACTAAAACGGAGCAACCACCTGACCTAAATGAAGTGTTCTAGATGGTTTATAACATTTTAATACCCAACTGTTTCAATTCTGTCAAAAGGTCGGTTAGCGGATAATGCCGGAACATTACAAACAAACTCACTTATTGAAGGCCTCAGAGGACAGCTGTGCTGTGGCTTCGCAGGGGGCTTGCAATTGTCAATAAAAGTTCTGCCACTCAAACAGCATACGCAGTATACAGAGCAGTAATTCAAAGTTACTTGACTGCATGTGTACGACTCTGTAGATACGTCGCAAAACTCAGCATGAACTCAACGGCGAACGGATCCAGCGGATCTTGGAGCTGCTTAAATTCCACTGCGTCAAAAATCGGAGGAACCGTTACCTACTGTCTGATCTTCATCGTTTCACTGGTCGCAAATTCTCTCATTGTTATGATCGTTTATAAAACGCCGAACGTAAGAAAACCGATAAATTTTTTCATCGCAAACATGGCCTCATCTGATCTGCTGTATCCAATATTCTGGATACCTTGGAACCTGTCATACTTGCACGCCAACTGGTTTCTTATCGGTGGTCAGCTTGGTCAGGCCTTGTGTAAGCTTGTCCCTTTCTTTGGTAACGTTTCCTTTGAAGTTTCGATTCAGAATCTGATTTTGATAGCAGTGGATCGCTTTGGAGCTGTGGTGTTTCCACTCCGTTCCCCACTCATCAGATCCAAGCTGTGTCCTTTCTTCATTCTCGCTCCATGGATAGTTGCCGTAGTAGTCAGTTCGCCATACTTGTTCACCGTCGAGCTCGCTGAATACCCAGAGGGAAACTGGTGTGTTCTGAAATGGGAGAAAGCATTTGGAGAGTCCTCATCCTTGGCCAGTTTCTTATTAGCTTGCTGCATTCTGTTTATATACATACCTGTTCTGTTGCTAGTCATTCTTTACTCCATCATTGTTATCAAGCTCAAGACACAGGCACACCCAGGTGAACAGTCCGCCAACAGTCAGCAACAGCGGGACAGAAGAAACCGAAACGTGCTTCAAATGTCCATTGCTATTGTAACAGTGTTTGTGCTTTGCTGGTTACCTTACTCGATCAACGGTTTAATCATATGTTATCAGTACACTTTCGCGCTTTCCTCGTGTAGTTTCAGGATATACTTTGAAGTCATCATTTATATTACTCACGCGTACTGTGCTATCAACCCGATTATCTGTTTCATGTTTAGCAGTAATTACCGAAAAGCTCTTAAAAGACTCATAAAATGTTCTTTTCCACAGGCGTAGGTCGCAAAAATGTGGTTTTGGTTGAAGATGTTAAGAGTGCGAGGTTCGTGGAACACTCGCGAATAAATGTATCATGACTACTGATCAATGTATTTTTAGTAGTAATTATCGAAAAGGTCTTAGAAGACTCATGAAATGTTCTCTTGTACAGGCGCAAGTCGCAAAAATTTGCTTTTCACTGAATAATATGTTAAGATTTAGAGGTACGTGGAACACTCGCGAATAAAAAAATTACCACGACTGCCGTTGGCGTACTTAACTGAGGATTAAGTCTGGCATGACTGCGAAATGTGACAGCATAGGCCACACATTGTTTAAGATTAGGTGGTAAATAAAACTCAGGGACGGACCATTAGAAACGTTATGGGGGGCGTAGGCAGGTGAAGTACAACTGTACAACTAACAACTCTCTATTACTACAGAACCGCTAAGTTATAGAAGAGGTTCCGCAGAAAAAAAGGAAGGAATAAAACGGAAAATTATAAACATCTGTTGAAATTTTAGCGCCACCCCAGGGTTTGACAGTAATGTTTACGTCGTCAAAAGAACTTGAGCATAGAAAAAAACTGCATGTTTTTGGCCGAAAGACCTAAAATCTCTAAAATTTCTACAAAGTCGAATTACGACCGTTTGAAGACTATAATCCGTAAGACAAACAAAAACTACTATCACATACGCGTGCTAGACGATCCGCTTCTTCTAAGAATTTGCAGACATACATTATCAATATTGTGGCTTTAAGAAGAGGATGAAAGCTATAGACTACCTACGTATAATTGTACACTGAAAATGTGCCTTACCCCTATAATTTTGGTTGTCTATCCTTAAAGTCATAAAATTGGTTTTCCACTGGAGATGGATTTTTGTCTTCGTTGCGGGCTGACATGTCGCTGCGACCTGAATGCCTCATGATCGCTAAGTGGTCTACGGCGTTATAGGTTAAACGTCACACAAAAGTACGGATTTTTTTTCCTTTTCTGGCCAGGTCATAGATAGAAAAGTGCTCAGTTTATTTTCTAAACTGCGTACCGAAAATAACTTATTTATGCTCTAAACTCTGAAATAATGAAACACACACAAGCAAATACACAATAATGAATTTATTGTATAGGAGGAATAGGTCGGCAGTGGTATAATACGACCTCCTAACAAACACAACTAACATGATACAGAAGTATAAATGATAGGAAAAATACAAACTGAATCTAAACCCGCTCGTACAAAAATTGAATAAATTAAATTCCAATGTGCAAAGGAACATAAAGACGCGAGTCGACTTTATCGTGGACCAGGCACGGATCCACACCGGTTTCCACCGTTTCACGGAAATCGGTAAGGTTTTTCATAATAAATATATTTTTAGTAAAAAAAAACTTTAAAATTTCCAAGTTGAAATCTTGAAAATGGTTTGGACAGTCAGTAAATCACCTGTCTGCATGACTCAGGGACCCAGGAAAGGGGACTTTGGGGAGTTAAAATCCAAAAAAATTCCCGGGAAGCATGCCCCCAGACCTCCCTAGAAGTAGGAAATGGATCAGTATTTATTCTAGATCCGCGCCTGTGGACGTAGCCGTCTTTAGCTGAATCTGACTTCCACCTTCCGTGAACTTTGAAAAGCCGATCTGGAACATACAGATTAGCAGCGGAAGTAGCTCCTCCGGACCTAAAGCTGTGACTACTAAACTTAGAAGGGTCTAATCCAATAGCTTTCAGCTTCCCCTTAAGAATTTCTCCCGCCCTGCTGGCAGTGAGGGGCTTTGAAGACAAGACATTGCCCTTCAAATCCTTGTCGTACCGTAAGGATCTGAAAATGAAATTCTGAGAAAAAGAAGGAATCCTGGCAGCTTCTAAGTACTTAATAAGGTATGTATAAGGGCAAGTAAAATTGCCAGTCTTGGCAATATAAACCCAGGAACCCTCTTTGTACCTATCAGTCTTGCTAACTTCTATGAAAATCTTATGATAGAGATCTTCAGTTACAATATTAGATCTCCTAATGCTTAAAAGCTCGGAAATGCGGAAAAAGCCAGCATATGCGAGTAAACACATACAGACAAACCTGATATCAAGTAAGTTACTACTTTCCCCATAATGCTGCAAAATTAAGCCAACGATCTCTGGGGTAATGGGCTCCGCCTTCCTAACAGGTTTACGAGGAACACGACTGGAAGCCTCAACAACAGACCTGATGAGAAAGTTGTCACACGGATTGGGATTCTCAAAACCTGATAACTTATGTACCCAGTTAAAAGCAAGCACCACGCTTTAAACTTACAAAATGATTTACAATGATTAATAACTGTGTTATCAGCTCGAGAATTAAAGGCAGAGAACCAAAACTTCTCACAAGGTAAAACGCCAAACGTCTGTCTGGCAGCTGCTTTAACATCTGAAGCAAAAAATAGAGAAAATAAAATGACAAAAATGACCAAAATATATCAGAAAAATACAACACGTAGTGAAACAAGGTAAGGTTGGGTTCAAGTGGTCCCAAGAAAAACACAGAAAAATATTACCACTAAGGGCCAAAGTGGCCTTGCATAATAAAAAAGACCAAGTGGTCCACAAAAAAAGGATCCAAGTGCATCCCAAAATACTAGGATACCATGTGGTATGAGCGTAAGAACTCTATAAACTGCAGAGAAAAACCTCCTACAAGGCTGAAAAAAGGGGGTGGGGGTTAACTAAGGCCTCTCTACGAAAACCGCAAGAACAAAACCCCTTAACGAAAATTAGGTGATCCAAAAAGGGGATTTTTATAGTTACCCAAAACGAAAACATCAGTACCTAGGGGGATCTCAAAAATATCAGAGAATATGGGAGACAAACCCTCGTCAGTAAAAATTAAAGGCCAAAATGGGGAGGAAGGCCAAGGAGGAACAATAAGTGTAGCGCGACCGCCCAGGGCAACCATGTGATTAATGACTCTGGGGATGAGAAAAATACGTGGAACGAGCCAATTATTCTCGCCTGCCCAAGAAACAGAAAAGGCATCAACCGCCTCTGTACCAGGGCACCAAAACCTGCTATTAAAACGGGGCAACTGAGTATTCTCATAATTCGCAAACCGGTCCACAGAGTGAGGACCCCATTTCTCTTCGGCCAAAAGGAAATAGTCCCTGTTGACCCGCCAATCATCATAATCCACAATTCTGCTCAAAAAATCAGCTCTATCATTAGCCGATCTCGGAATCCATTCCACTTCCAATGTGATGCAACTGAGCAAGCACATACTAAAAATACGCAAAGCTAAGCATTGCAAATCTTCCTTCATGCTTCCTACTTCAACGATTCTAGCAACACTCTGATTGTCAGTATACCACTTAATAGTGC